GAAGAATTGGACCGAACAATGCAACTACTTCATCTTCACCGGTGTCAGGGATTAAAACAGCATCTCTTCCCTCTTTGTAGTTTCAGGGTCTGATTTTTGTCCATCAGATATATATAGACTCAGAGATATAGCAAACAGAAACAACACATTTTTTTCCTGTGAAAATTTTATAGAGTATGCTGAATATGCTGATTGCATATGCCGATTTTAAACACTGTGAAGTTTGAATCACTAGTCGCCCTCGAGTCTGATTCAACATTAGGCCTGTTCAATCTGATAGATCAATGTTATGACTAATTAGGACTCGCTGCAAAAACCTAGTTACATATTGTTTTTTATTAGTTTTTGAAGAAACCTAGTTACATACTTATGTTCACATTACGCTTCAATGTCTTGCGCAATTGCACATTATCATTGCACCTGTAATGCAATTTTGACATAATCATTGCACCTGTAATGTAATTTTCCTGTGTTATGGAAAATGAAGCTCACTTCCTAAAGCAAAAAAAAATTAGCTTTCTTGCATTGGAAAATTTGAAATGCAAATAACAAGGAGACACCTTTCAGCTTAGCATCTCTTTAGTATTTTGCAATTCGATACAATGATTATCTACTTCAAACACAATGAAATACTACGTACAGTCAATTCATGAACAAACTGTATGTACTTTTTCGTTGTGTTTGCAATGTTATTTGAGACTTTAGATTGAATTTTGTCTACATCATTGTCATTTTATGACTCTTTATCATAAAGGTAAAATTGTGACCATATAACGAATGAGGCCATGCCCAACTGCCGAAGAATATACTCAATTGAGTGGTGCTACTTATCCTGGGCAAATCCAATAAAAATTATCTTAATTTGCTTTTAGGATTGAGGGGTGTGATTATCAGAAATGCCATAAACACAAAACTTGAAAGAAAGAGTATTATTATTGAATGTTTGATGATGTACAATATGACGAATGATATAATTTATACTAAGTTGTAGTAAATCTAATATAGGTAATTGTTGAAGGATCTTTTATCCTTTTGGTAACATTGATTAGGTTGATTGATATTTTCATTAATTAGGAAACTTTTGACTTAGTTGATTGACATCTCCCTAATTCGCTCCTCAAATTAAAAGACGTAATTGTGCTTCCTATTTAAGTATTATCGCGCATCATCAAGAGTCTTACCTCACTAGGGCAGTTGACAAACTCATAATGGTGTTGGCAAAATTCAGAATGACTTAAAAGATTAATATTGTCCGTACTATCAATACTCAATCTTTTTCCTTAACTTTGCATTTTTGTCTCTATTGTTTTATTTAACATGATGATAGCCTTGATATTCGATTTTCTTCCTTTTTCCTTTGCTTGATTGTCGACCTCTTGCCCCGTGGCTTTGATAATAATCTTGACCCAACACTATTGACCATTTGACCTACTCTAGTCTCTAATAATCCAACTTGTGTAATACCCTAGAAATTTCTTTCCTTTAAAATACTTGTTTTACTCTTTTAAAAATACAAAATAGGAAATTCTAAAACATTACTGCCACCGTGAAAACGACTTAGGCAATTTTCAAAGACACATAGTGGAGACTCTCTTTAAAACCATTCAAAACAAGTCAACTTAAAAAAAGTCAAACCAAATGAAAGTAAAGTAAACCAAAGTCAAACAAAGTCAACCTACAACTTGGAACCATTGTAAGCCCTTAATAAAACCGAGATAAAACATTTGAAAACCTTTGCATTAGTTTCACAAGCAAAATATATAATAATTAAATCAACAAACCACATCATATTCTTATGAAAACTAAATATGATTCGCTCTTCACTCATGCCCATCATGAATATGCTTCCACACCTGAAAAGCTCCTCTTTACTTTGTCCCCGCTACTCACCATTAGAAATGGGTCATCGTAGGGCCAAGATAAAGGCAATGCCAAACAAACATACAACACACAATTAGCAATGCCGAGTACATAAGCGTAAACAGTACAACTTACCTTGTTGCACCTGTTTTCAAGCACGCAACACAACCAAAAAATAAATTGACCACTAAATTGTTTATTTAATTTGATTACGCATCAAACGGGTTTCCCACCAAAAAATCCCTGCCCCAAATAAAGTGAGGTAAACTACGCCAGGAGCTAACCGGGTAGGCAAATGCCACATGAAGTGACTGGACGTCCTGCGCATAATAAATAATAAAAAGGAAAATACAGCATTCTGTACTCCCAATAGAAGTCATGGGTAAATATAAAACTCCATAACTCCCCCATATGTTCATAACACCGTAGCTCACCGCAGTGCTAGCAAACTCGTTAGAGGAGTTCCATATATTGTGATCTTGAGGGTCACTAAGAACAAGACCCTCATTTGCAGTTATCTTTACTGACGATCCTGCAGGAACACAAGTTCCATTATTTGCATGCCAAACAATTGTATTGGGAATCTTGGCATGCCAAATAGAAAGCAAGAAGAGATTGTGGTGGTTAAGGGGATTTAGAAAAGCCAAAAGCAAAATCACCTGAAGGTGAAAGCCATGGAGTGCCAGTGATGGTCGCTTGTAGAGTTTGGCCGACTGATATGTTACCATTAGTTTTGGCAGTGGTGAATAATGGTTGTAGGATTATTAGTGATAACAAGGGGGGGGGGGGGGGGGGGGAGCACAAGAAAGAGAGCAGGCCATTGCTTAGGAAATTAAATGGCACGACTGCTGATTCTTTCAGACTTGGGATAGGATTATAGGAATGTAATATTAAGGGTATTTTTTTGTTTGTGAACCAGAGAAATATTTTTTTTGGTTCTTATAGGCAACATACATGGAATGATCACTTTTGGTTCATGTAGCCGACCCCACTTATGGGACTAAGGCTTTGATTGATTGATAGGGAACATACCATTTCAACAAGGGTTGAAGATTCAAGTATTGTATGACCATTTGAACATTATCTGAGTCGACCCATTCAATTGATTGGACATTGTAGTGATGGACTAAACTTTTAAGGGTCTTGAGATTTTTGAATTTTGATACTGTTATTAGAACCATTACACTTGATTTCAAAGACTTCTCTAATTTGCACGTAAATATGACTGACAACTTAAAGGAAATTATTGCACTCTTTTAAATCTGTTCCACCCTGGCTTCTGAAATAGTGTACCTTGAAATCAAGATTACATTGTAAAAGATGAATATTTGTTTCTCCAAATAGATTACTTGCTTGTGAATTACATTCAATTTCCAAGTAGGGAAATCAGATCTTCATTGTATCTGCTTATGTTTTCAATTATGTAGGGAAAATCATCTCTCCTAAAGTTTCAATGTGATGCTGCCCCTGATCTTAATGATTTTTTTTACTGAATCTGTTGGGAATTGTTGTCTCTCTGGTTCATACTCCTAATGAGTGTGAAATTTGGGATGTTGTGTCTAGGATGAGATCCTTTAAGGCCCCCGGCCTGATGGATACCATCCTTGTTTTTATAAAAAAAAAATGGAGCACTATAAAATCTACCTGATTTTATTTGTTCAAAAAAATTTTGTTGAGAGAGAGAGATTCCTCCTGTCATAAATAAAACTCACATTGCAATCATTCCAAAAAAGATGATCCTCTTGTGTATCTCCCAATTTCGCCCAATTAGTCTTTGCAATACCATATATAAAATTGTGGCGAAAATCTTGGCTAATAGGTTAAGGGTTTTTCTGCCTAGTAGAATTTCCCCAAACCAAAATAG